TAACTGAAGCCTTTCATTTAACTACCAAATAAGCACATTGGTCCTCTCTTTCTGGCCACACACGGCAGCACTTCTGCTATCATTTTGTTCGTATTCAACAATACAAAGTGGCACCGCCACTTTGAGACCCCTGCACTAAACAAACCTATGAAAGACACTTATCACATCAACTGCTTCATGAGCTGAAGGAAAGTTTTTTGTTTTTTTATACCATAAATCTGCAGTTCATCTACCATCCAGCAGAGGCAGCAGTGAGTCTATCTCTATGTTAAAATTAACAAGTTTACAACCAGATACAAAAACTGGTTTAGCCTCTAAAGATAATTTCTCTTTTCACAACAACTGTACAGGTGAAGAATGTTTTTAGAAAACAACGATTTGCATTATTGGGGGCGTGGCCTCTTTGATTGCAGACAGCTAGCCACCTGTCAAAGCTTCACCAAAAGCCTAATTTTACTGAGTGGCATGTTAATGTAACGCAAGTATGCAGATTAGTTGCTAACATAATTTAGCTCATCTTAAAAACTGTCAGATTCTTTCATCTGAGCACAGCGCCCCCCATCAGTAGCACTGATAACTGCAGGTGGTGAGTCTTCATCAAGTTTTCATTGAATGCCGTTTGTTTACTGAGATACTCCTGAGATCATTGCATTTAATTTAATACTATCAAACATAAAAGAGAATCATTGAAACTGTCAGTCAAATGTGGGCTGCTGAAATGAAAGCTTCCATGTTTTGCGATGTCACAGAAATCATTTATCTTATCTCTATCATGATAATTCCTTTCTTCTGCGAGTCAGCTTCCTGTCTGTGGTTCTCTTACAGACTTTGATCATAATTCAGCTGCTGATGATTTGTCTCAGCAAAAAATCTCAGGATTGTAGTGAAGATGAATCTCTGGGAAGTAAAAGCAGCAGTTAAATGTCAGCACTGCAGTTGGGCTGCCTCGCAATAGCCTTCCTGTATGGCCATCACACTAATCCCGCCCACCAGCTCTTCCCAAAAGTTCCTTTTTAAGTTGAACAACAAAAATCCAGCAGCTCAATTAGAGAACACATCAGGAAGCGACTCTGACGCGTCACACCAAGGACACCGTCCAAACAGTTGATCTATGACATCAGGAAATACCTGGCGACTACAACAGTAACCTACAGCCACATGAATGGACAGCTTGCCACGCCATGTAGTTGGCAGCTTCATGTTTAATAGTTGAAAAAATGTAAAGAAAACCTGCAGTTTGCAGGAACGCCACAAAGACAACTCAACTGAGCCATCAAAATTTAGGTGGAATGATAATAATAACTGGTGCTGATGCTCAGTTATTTAATTAAAAACTGTAAATCTCTAGGGGACCCGCAGGCTCTGTTTTAACACATCGTTTAAGGGTTTCTCTCGGAAGGGTGTCCTTGCTCTTACATCATAAATAAAATCCCCGAGCAGTGAAACTCAGGAGGTTTGTACTGAAAAGTCAGAGCAGAAGACAAATCAACTGAGCCACTGATGTTAGTGACTGAAAATGCTGTCACGCTCAGGTGTACGGTTCAATGCAGCATGGTGTGTTCAAGTGTCACTGTGTTTTTTATTCTAGTACGATGTGTTCAGGGGCCCTCAGAGCTGTCAGTGTCTCCCCGCAGCCCCTCGGGGTAATGAGTCCTGAGATGAGGTGGCGGCAGCAGAGAGAGGTGGTCTCGCCTCGTCGCCTGCAGGAGCGGTGCTCTGCTGTCAGATGGATGTTTCTTTATAACAGTCGCAGATCTGACACGCTGAGAGACGGCGGAGGAGGCAGGAGAACTCGGACTGATGCACACCTCCCCCTCCTCGCTTCTCATGAACTCTTCATGAACCTCTCACTTTATTTGGTTTATTTCACAGCAGCTCAGATAATCAATCTCGCGCGCACACACACACACAATGTGTTCGATAACAGTGATGGGATGCAGCGTCTCCTCTGAGCTTAGCACCTGTAGACGGATCTCAAATGACGTCTCTGAGGATCACGTGATGCTGAGCCAATCACAGCATCTCAGATCAGAGACCTCTGCACCGACTTGCCTCAGTCAAACCCAACCATCAAATGATCTACTTCCTGTGAGGCATCATTGTTCTCACCATAATCAAATGAAACAAAATAACTGATTAAAAATGGCGAGGAGATGTCTGAGGACCACCTTCTGTTCCTGTGTTCTTCCTGGGTGCTCCAGGGTCCTGGAGCCATGTGAGTTTACATTTTTAACAAAGTGATAGACAGCGAC